AAACTCTTATATCTTGAAGAAAAGTTTCCGTTTACTGGTTTTCTTGACTAAATTAATGCTGGACGCCGGATTTGTGAAAGCAGGAACCACAAAAGTCTTTGACTTAGCAGGTACATACATAACCTTGAAAATTTAAACCACAAAATTTCTGGAGACTTTAAAGATGTGTTTATCATGAAATCTATTAGAAATCATGGTTTTGTAATGTTAATTCAGATAGGTTATATCCTACGTGCTTGCGAGTGTTTGTTTACTATTTTGTTCCCGTCATACCATAGATAATCTATAGACTAAAATGGCCGACAGCGTTTTTGTATGTCCATGAAAAATCTATTTTAAAATTAAAGTTTTGTAGCTTTCTAGGTAAAAAAAAATACAACACATTTTTTTCGGTCTAATTGAACAATTATTAACCATTTAAAACATAGTTCTAAAAAGTTTGTCCCTATTAAGTCTGGTAAGGGTGCGGGCAAGTCTCTTGTTTGCCGCCGGAACTGCGTTTTTCGTTTGCCAGCATCCTTCACCTATTTTCCACTCTGTCAAGTGTAATTTTTAAGTTCTATCACGCAGCCACGTTTTAATTTGGGCCTGAGGTATGGGCAGAAGAGATATGGCATTGAGAGATGGGTAGACTTCTGTATCTGCTCCTTTCTTAGCCAGTTCTTCTGCTGCATCGATCAACAAGTATTGAGGTATTCAAAAAATTGTGATGACAGCAAAACACTGCTTTGTATTTTGATGACCACTTGATTTTGAAAGGGTGGCAAACTAGCGTATGGCCCTCCTGATGGTAAGCGACCACCATAGCGTAAAGACGCTTGAGATACCAACAATATCACTGAATAAACACAAACAGTGCCTTTGACCTATTGGAGGCCCTGGGTATATTAGGATAATGGGGCCCCTATGACTTCCGTTTGGTGATTTAACAGGAACTGGGGACTTCGTATTTGATCAGAGGGGGCCCCCTATCGATCGCGGGACTCTGGGCACTTGCCCAAAGTGCCCACTGGGAAAGACGGGTCTGAAACACAAAGCCACCAATAGGTAGTGTTCTAGTGATATTTTTTTGTGATATTCTCTAAGGTAAAGGTTAGTTCCCTAGGCAAGCGCTCCAAATCAAACGTAAAATCTGTAATTTTTATCATCATAACCGTTTCAATCATTTTCGGCAGCTAAATAGGCACCAAAACCTTTCGTTCACCCTCAGCTATAAATCAGCCGTAGGTACACTAGGTAAATCTTTAAATTATTCGCGTTTAAGTAAGTAGTGATAAATTAGCGGTATAATATACCGTGCGGCTGCCGGTCGGGTCGGCTATTGTGCCGTCTGTCGGACGGAAGCGGTGTAATAGCGCGCCGGAAGCGCTCATTCCAGTTTTATTGTCTGTGCGAGCTGCGAACCTTTTTTATTGTGTGCAGCAGCCTTTTAATTTTATTCGCTTCAAACTGCGTGCGAATACGAGTAGGAGTACGATGCAGAGCTGCAGCAGGTAGAAGAATGCAGTGGAAGAGAAGCGCTTAAAAGAAAGAAAAGACAATTTTGAAGAGAGAAAAGAAAAGAGCTATAGCAGTAAGATGCCAAGTTGTACGGGAAAGTAATTGTAACGAGATCGAGTTTCCAGTATTATTAAATGGAGATTTCTTGGCTGAATACTTGAGATATTCTTTTCATTGAATCCTTTTGTTAATCTGCCTGGATATATTATTGCCCCAGCAGTGTAAGTAAATATTTACTTTCTCTATGGTGGTTAGCAGATAGGTATCATATAATTGCGTATCGATTATAGTGTTGATACTGACAAGATTTCCTAAACCTAAAATTAAATTTGACGACAGTGTATCCTTGTCATTCTCTTCTATACAGAATGAAAAGGAGAGACTGGTGTTAAAGTAGGTTTTAAGTTTAGAGAAGCATGCCAGTTTCAACACAATTATCACTCGCGTCTCGTCATAGGGTGCGGCCAGAGTGCACTCAGATTCAGAGTCAGATTCAGACAGAGAAATAAACAGTGTAGTCTAAGCAGGTTGCCTGCTTTTTCTCGCGCTTTGTTTTCTGAGTCTGAATCTGAATCTAAATCAGGAGTGCAATCTGGCCGTACCCTTCGACTACACTGTTTATTTCTCGCGCTTGTTTTCGAAATCTGAATCTGAATCTGAATCTGAGTGCACTCTGGCCGCACCCATAGCCCCATCCTCCCACAGGACGTGGAGTCCTATAACCACAGCCTAGAACCTTTCTCTGAAACATAACAACATAACACCACTCAAAAAATGGATGCGTGTAACTTATGTACGCGCGTGAGAAGTTATACTTCTTTAGCATCATTCAAAATATTTTTTAATTGCATGCAAATAATTAATAATTACAATAAAATAATAAAAGGACTGGAAAAGGATAGTTAACACAGTCAATTAAGTTCAGTTTTAATTTGAAAAATTAAATAAATATTCAAAATATTCAATTAAAATCACTACTGAATTTAAGTTATTAGTCCATATGTAATTATCACTTGTAAGTAACTAAAACACGTTGTGTCTATATAGAAACTAGAAACATGTGGATAAATATTAAAAATATGAAAACAGTGATCAGAGGCGACGAGCGTGCCAACATTGTTTTTGACAACGCGATCATCTTATGGAGCTCCGTGGATCGTTCAAAGTACCTTTCGAACAGATGTCTAATAATGGTAATTATTAGACACTAACATTCATAACGCGCCCGCGGCCAACTTCATGGTGTTACTATTGTGTTACAGTGATGTGCGCGCATCTCGAAATTTCACTCACATGATTTTTTCATAACGCGCCCGCGGCCAACTACATGCTGTTACTTTTGGGTTACAGTGATACCCCCGCATCTAAAAATTTCACTCTCATCATTTTTTCATAACGCGCCTAAAGAAGTATAACTTCAAAAAACGACGGGCTGCAGCAGTGCCGGCAAAAATGAAAACTTGAATATTAACGTTGTGCATTTTTGATATTTTGGAATGGTTAGGGAATAATTTTGCACGAATTGCTTTAATTATCTGTATAAAAGTACTATCATTTATGTGGTAGAATAGAAAGAAGAAAGAAATAATTTTATTTGAGACAACAAAAAAAATAATAATATAAAAAAAAATGGGTACGTGTACTTATGTAGGCGCGTGAGAAGTTATCCTTCTTTGGCATCGTTTAAAATTAGTTTTTAATTGCATGCAAATAATTAATTACAATAAATTAATAAAAAGTCTGGAAAAGGACACAGTCAATAAAGTTCAGTTTTAATTTGAAAAAATAAATAAATAATCAAAATATTCAATTAAAATCGCTACTGAATATAATTTATTAGAACATATGTGATTTGCACTTGTATGAAACTCAAACACGTATTCCGAATATACAAACTAGAAACATGTGGATAAATATTATAAATATGAATACCTATAACTGTTACTTTATTACAAAAAATAAAGATGTGGTTTTTGGTTCTACTACACCAATGGTCAAGAGATGGCGTTGTAGTCTCCTGAATCGCGCTTTGGTTCCGTTGTTCCAGATTAATAAATACTTTTGATAGGCCTTCAAAATGCAGTCGTTGGCACCCACTAAATAGAGATTCTATTTCTATTTTGTTGGTAGATTTTCTTAATGTGCGGTAAACACAAAAGTAACGCACGAAGAAGGTCGCTAAAGCGACCAACTTCATGCTGTTAAAATTTTGTGTTACAGTGATGCGCGCGCATCTTAAAATTTCACTCTCATCAATTTTTCATAACGCGCCTAAAGAAGTATAACTTCAATAAAATAAAACCATGAAAAGTCTCAAAACGGTCCCAACTCAGCATACAATATTTATTTATTGCGCTATCGTACACAAACATGACAATTTATATTACATTAAAAAGTTTATCTCTCAGAAAAATCAACTTACATAAATCACATTTAAGCGCATCTAGCGACATCTATTGTAAAAAAATACATTTTCTTCGCAATAAAACTGCCACCTCGTCCTAGATAAAGACTTAATATTATAATACACTAAAATAAAATATTACTTTATTTCGTCCAATATATTGAAAGTCAACAACCTTTCCAATTTTATTGTTTTTGTCTTACGAATTTTCGATCAGTACCCTTAGTACTAATTTGAGCTCACGAAAACTATCATAGTTTTCGTAATTCTATATCATGTTTTTATGTCACTTAAAATTTAAGAAGACGCAAATGATTTAATGACGAATTTAAACACTGTTTATTTGTATTGAAACGAAAACAATAAAATCGTACTGATTTAGTACATACCTTAGTACGATTGCGAGCTCCCGAAAACTATTTTGACGCGAGTTTAACATTTTTTATCCATACAAAAAAAAAGTGTACAACGATGCTAAAGAAGTTTTCACTTCAAAAAAAAATTAACTTGTTTTTCTGTGGTTTTTTTCTATTTATTAAAACTAAAATCAAACTCCAGTACGGAAATATTACAAATGGTTGTACTATATACCTAGTTTAGTTTATCAAAAAAATATTTAACATTACAAATCTTAAATTAACTCCATCTATCGAACTATATCCTCATTACTTTGCTGAAAAGTTTGCTTGTCTCTGCTTTTAGGAGCTGATTTTAGTTCCTCACTATTGCGATAGATGACACTAAAAGAAAATTGTACTATTATTTTAAACTAATATTGTAAGTATTCGTATAAAATCAAGCATTCACAAGAAAGCATTTAAGTTTAATTTTGAACTACCTACAGAAGGAAATTAAAATACAGCACAGCTTTTTTACCCGGCTGCGCAATGCAAGAGCGCGAAGCGCGACGCGCAGACAGGGTTATGTGTTTAACAGTCTATATATTTATTCTTATGGCTTACATTTTGTTTTATATTTCTAAATATTTTCTAGATTTGGATTTATCAAAAGCTATATCGTTTGCCTTTGTAATTAGAACATTTTAATGACGTATACGAACGTTACGTCACTATAAAACGTCAGACTCGGACGTAGCGCGCTTGCGCCATATTTTTCCGGCCGGCTGTCATTCTCACGCTAAAGTTCCTCGAGGTTAATCGTGGGGTGTTCACATATTTAGCCGTACTACCTACCAATTAATAAGTAAGTGCAAATTTTATTAACTTATCTCGGTAAATATTACGCTTTGTCCAAAGTTTTTACGGTATGTTTTAATTACTGCATCAATAAATATTCTTCGAGAGCATCACGAAAGTAGGTCTGCGTTGCTCATTGTCTTGGTGAATAGATGGATACATCTAGAAATTGTTAAAAGACATTTGCAATTAAGTTATTCTCAGAACACCCGAAGTTTTGTTGTAGACAACTGCTCCAGAGATTTGAAACCTCAGATGTTTTCTATAATCTGATTTTGAAACAATGTCAAAAAGTAGAAACGTTTTGTTAAATTTTGCTCTTCAGAAATGCATAAAATACTGTACTGCAAATAAAAGTAACTACAGCAATTGCTATGATTTACAATTTAACAAACACTAAATTTAAATTATTTGATTCCAACCAAAAGGTTATAATGATGCAAGATCAGGCAAGTAGGAAAAGACCCCGCAGTGAATCACATGGTGAAATCAATGGAAATATTGAGAAAAAACCAATGCCAGAAAGGTATGGATTGGTGCAGGGAATAATAGCATGTGAAATTTAGTTCAGGATAAATCCAACAAAAGAAAATATAATAATATGATCATGCTTAATTAATAAATATGAATTCTTGTCTATTAAACATATTCAAGGAAGTGAGGGGCCAAATTGTATAATAGTAGCCTTTATATCTGTTATTTATTTATATTCCAACTTGGAAGATTTTAATGAATAGGCAATGAACATTAACTATAAACAATAATAAGTTCTTGTTATATATCTAAATAGCAATGCATGCAACCAATATTTATCATCAAAACTATTCTTGTCAAATCATTCATATCCAATGAATGCTGTAAAATTTTCTCTCAATTTTATCAAACATCTTTATTTAGCATGTTTGCGCATGTAAGATGAATATTTTTCTAATTAGATCTTTTTATTTACTTATAATTTATTAGAAAAAATAAATGACTATGTTCATCATCATCATAGTGTACCCAATATTTTGTATAACATTATAAAGTTAAATTAGTTAATTGTCAATTAATAAGATGTTACTGTGGGAATAATATTTTTATATCCACAACATATTTGTCGCTGATTTAAATTGTTAACAATATGTATGTTAACATAACAATACATGAATACAAATAAATATTTTTAAAGAGTAAATGCTGCAAATTTACCAAATCCACAAAAATGTGCAACTCTAACCACCATCATCTTCTCAGAGGCCTGAACCCAATCCCCTACCCCAGGGGACCCCAAAACCTTACCAACAGACAAAAACACAATATTTACCACCATTAAGAAGACTTATTTTATTTGTTTCTTAGGTTTTCACACACATCACTCAGTACATAAAACTAGTTTTAACAGGTTAATGCACGAAATTTATTTATTGACGTTTCACAGCCTTTTCAGGTCTGAATTCAGAATAATGATTTTTTATTTACTTTTTCGAGTTACCTTCGAAAGACGACCTACCTTTCGAAGGTAGTTCGACAAAGTAAATAATTCTGATTTGGGGTTTTGGGAAATGTCAATAAATAAATAAAGTTTGTGCATTAACCCGTTAAAACTAGTTTTATTTAAGACTTATTTTACTGTGTCTTTTGTAAGGTATAGATTACTTATCCAAAAAGATTTAAATCCAAGTGGAAGATCTGCTATCTCATAAACGTTTTTTCTTAATTTCTATTTGTACCACCTAGGACTCCAGAGACAACCATAAAAACTGGTGTGTTCCATGAAGGTTGTTGCTATATGAGTACCGTTGATCTCATGATTACCTACTTTGTGTCACTTAGATTTAAATTTGCAAGAGCCTAGCTACAAAGATGTCCATGGAATACAAATGTTATTGTCGTGGGGACGAGGCCACTACTCTGGACTTGGAAAAGCCCGAACATCTTTTGCCAATGATGAGACCGTTCTCTATGAGGTTTATTTGCTTTTAATTCTGTAGTTATCCCTGAGACTATTTCAACCATAGAATAATATTGAGTAATACTGTATATCTTTATGTAGATAGTTTCTTAGATGTGTCATTCATTACTATAAAAGTTTTTTCTTCACCATAATTATAGAAGTAAAAGTTCTAAATATCATTTCTTTGTTATTTATTGGAGATAATAGTAACTTACATTTTATTAAAACTAGCTGCATTCATTATTTGCACCTGATCATTCTTTTAAGTCTGAATCACTTGTTTATTAAGTACATCTAGCTTAAATCTGAAGTGTTCGGTAATTCTGCTAAGTTCAGTCTGATCTAAATCTGTTTGCTCTGAGTAGTTTGACTGACGATAAAAATTAATCTGTCTCTGTCATGTTATGAGGTTAGAAATGAATCGACGGTTGGTTGGGCTGATCGGTATTAGCAAATTGCTCAGATTAATCTATGATCACGTGACCAAAAATCCATCTTGCCTCCGCGATGCAAATACCAAAATGCAGCTAATATAAACAATCAAACAATGTCAAGATTATTATGGTTTATGAGAATGGAACCTATTTCAAATATTTAAATATGCATTTTTAGATAATGTGTTGAGTGTGGTTAGATCAACAATTAGTTCTATTATAGTTTTTTATTGGAATTAAGGTCAGCATAGTTTATAGAGGAATTTTCACTTAATTTATTTACCTAATCGATAGTTTCTTACTGAACATTGTGTATGATTCATTAACTACCTACAATCTCCCCTGAATGCATATCAGAGGTCATTCCAGACAGTAAATCAAACAGAACAAATTTATTTATTACAATATCAATTATACAACTAGTAGCTAGATATTTGTCTCTGGGTTGTATGAAAAAATAGGGTGGTCCAACTAGTGACGTCAACAAATTTACAGGGTACAAGTTTGTACAGGGTGATCCAACTAGTGACGTCAACAAATTTTTTTTAGATTCCTCGCACCTGGTGGTATCCGAAAATACCCCATGTTCCGCGATTTTTCTTAGTTTTCGAGTTATATATTTTTTTGTGTATTATTAATGATTTCTGCCAGCGAGGTTTCAAAAATTCTTATCTTTTTTCGTAGTAGGTATTTTGCAGTCTTTTTTTTGTGACATAATTGTCTTGATTGTTGTTTTAATAAAAAAATAACTCAACTCAATTACTTAAAGTTACTCAAAAAAGGCTTGAAAGTTGGATCTTTAGTTTTTAGTAGGATTTACTCAAACTAGTTGAACCACATATATGTATTCTTTTTTTATTTTAATTTAACAAAGTACTCATTTAAAATCATACATTAAATAAGCACAATTAAAAATTAAAACATTTTCGTTTGACTTGTAGGTAAGTAATCGACTAATCTTTATATATATATAATTCTTCTGTGAGTGTGTATGCCACTGAACTTCTCTTAAACGACTGGACCGATTTTGATGAAATTTTTTGTGTGTGTTCAAGGGGATCTGAGAATGGTTTAGATTCACAATTTTGTCCGCTGGACAACCCCTATTTTTTTAGGGCGGTACGAAGTTCGCTGGGTCAGCTAGTTTAACTATATTAATTTATTTCTTTCTTGTGTTTTCACGCACAAGGTTCATTGAATAAAACACTTTTTAACAGGTTTTAATTTATGTGAATATTTGAGTAATTTAAAATGTTAATAGCGACTAACTCGTTCTTTTGTCAGAGACAAAATACATTCGATTCGCATTGAACATATAAATGTATATTGATACAATTTTTTAGGGTTCTGTACCCAAAGCCGACAACGGAATACGGCGCGTCCGTCGGTCCATTCGTCTGAAACTAAGAGTCGGGCAATTACCCGACTTTCGTATTGCCATTTTATAACTATAAAACATCGTAGTTTAAAAAAAATAAAAACCTGTGGGTGATTTATAGGTAGTACTGCATTCTTTAAATCGTTCGAACGTCAACGTCGAAGGTCCTAATAAATAATCATAATTATAGGGGGGGAATTACTCGAATCGATTTTTTTCAACCTTCATACCTTACTTGCATCGTCAGTAGCATCGTCAATGCATGGAAAATTAAAAACAGTAAAATGTCGATATTTCGTGCTTGTACCTTATTCTGCACTGCATTTATAGGCTTACATTAAAACAAGGGAAGATACTAGCATCAAATAAAATATGATCCGACTCAACTACATATCGAGCCGTTACCGCCAAATTATCGTAAGCGACACTTTTGTCGAAATGCGTTTTTTGTGGAAACTATATTAATATTAGTACTATAAAAATATTAGTTTCCACAAAAAACGCATTTCGACAAAAGTGTCGCTTACGATAATTTGGCGGTAACGGCTCGATATGCAACTCTCACACATTCATACTTCTGTAAATATTCATCAATCGAGTGAGAGAGTACCCCTAGCACGAACCAATATCGAATTCGTATCGTTTGCGAGTCCGAAATTAGAAAAAGCGCCATTGTCAAATGTGTACTGATTTTTAGTTCTCGTTACGTACTTTGTGCCGTAGCTGTTCCAAGTTTCCATACAAAATTTGACATTGACATTTCTGTTTGCAAACTATTCGAATTCGATAATGGTTCGTGCTAGGGGTACTGAACGCTTCAAAACAGCGCGAGCCGACTGCAAAGTTATATTGTTGTCCTTTTCTTAATAAAAAACCAAGCCGGACTCGCGCACCGAAGGTTCCGTACAAACTCAATTTAATACCTCTACGCGTTCATGAGAAAAGAGGTAGTACTTTAAAATTTTCAAAAATATTTTTTATTATATGGTTTATGATAAAACTAAAAATTTTAGTGACTAATGATTTTAGTTTGATACCTTCACGAGTTCCTGAGAAAGACGGTCTTGACAGACGGACGGACGGACAACAAAGTGATCCTATAAGGGTTCCGTTTTTTCCTTTTGAGGTACGGCACCCTAAAAATGACTACAGTTTTATGGATATGATAAAACTAAAAATTTACGGTTTTCGCAATTTTTCCTTTATCTGTACTATAAGACGTAATGTCTTCGTAACAAATTTCAAGATTCTAAGTTCAC